CACTTGAGCCACAGCGCCACTTCCGGCTTTTTTCTTTTTGCTTATGTGGTGCTGAGGAATCGAACCCAGGGCCTCGAGCGTGCAAGGCAAGCGCTCTACCACTGAGCCACCTTCCCAGCCCCTTCTGCCTATTCTTTCAAGCCAAGTGATGCATACTTTTTCTAAACTGAAAGCAATCAGTATTATTTTATCTGCATGTATAAATTTGGAATGGGTTAAGCCTGGAGTTGAATATTTCCATGTTGCTATTGAATGAGCTCCAACTCTTGGAAGCTGCAGTTCCACTTCTCTTTTTGCCACAGTACTATTTGGGCGTAATTCTGATTATGTCAAACAAGTCCCCCCATGACAATGGCTTAACAATAAGCATGCACTTTGTCACTCCTGCAAAAGTCAAAGGTGACTGGGCATAGTGGCTCCTGCCTATAATCCTAATTACTCAGACTTGAGATCTAAAGACCACAGTTTGAAGCCAGCCTAGGCAGGAAAGTGTGAGTCTCTTATCTCTAATTAACTACCAAAAACCCAGAAGTAGAGCTGTGGCTCAAGAGGTAAAGTGCTAGTGTTCTGCAAAAACAAACAACTTAGAGACAACACCCAGCCCCGAGTTCCAACCTCCAAATAAAAACAGCACAAAATGAAAACAAAAAGTCAGAGATGGCACCGCTGTTTGGTTGAGACTTTGTGCAGGATGGGAATGCAGGCTGACACGGAGGCTCTGTCATAGTGAACAAATAGTTCTGGGGCCTCTGGGCCCTGGCATTAGGAGTAGAGATGTTGGGAGAGAAGTGGTACTTCATCACAACTTAGGTCTGCAAGAAACCACCTCACTGCTACTCACTTCTCACCTATCAGAACTTAGCAGGGTGCCAAGCCTGACTTCCGGCAGCAGGACAGCTGCTAACTGGCCGGCGACCTATGCAGATTTCCTTATTCATTTCCCATGTCTTCTGTTTGTTTTTCACATTTTTACAGCACTAGAATCAGAGTGCATCTTCCAAATGGTATATCATAAGCTAACTGGCTGGGGTTTTTTGTTTCTTTTTGTACAATACTGGATCTTGAAATCAGGGCCTCGGTGCTGTCCCTTAGTTTATCTGCTCAAGGCTGGTGTTGGACCCTTTGAGTCCCACACCTTCACTATGGCTTTTTGTCAGTTAATTGGAGATAAAAATCTTACAGACTTTGTTGCTTGGGCTGGCTTTGAACTGTGATCTTTGGATCTCAGCCTCCTGAGTAGCTAGGATTACAGGCATGAGCCACTGACACCTGGCTTGAATTTTTCCTTATTGACACGTGAATTATTATCATGTACTCATCAGGAAAATGCATTGTGGTTAAGATTAAGTAAAATAGCAAACACATATACATTTTGCATGAATCTTCAGCACATACTAAATAGTGTAATAACACTCTCTTTATCTCTCTCTGTCTCTCATGGGGTTTGAACTCAAGGACCTTGTACTTTTCCTTGGCTTGCTTGCTCATGGCTAGTACTCTACTCCTTTTGCTAATTAATTGGAAATATTCTCTTGGGCTTTTCTGCCTAGGCTGGCTCTGAGCTGAGATCCTTCAGATCTTAGCCTCGTAAGTAGTGAGGATTTCAGGCATGGGCCCCCAGTGCCTAGCTGCCTTTCTCTTTTTTTATTTGCTGTTTTCTTAACAATGATCTGGGATGAAAAGGCATGCCTTTCCTGTATTATACAATTTTATCACTGGGAGCAGAATGACTTAAAGTAACTTACTTTCCTGTGGACACTAAGGTCTATTCTGTGCATTCATAGCTAACCATCATCAAATATTCATCAGCCTTCCATCTGTCTGTAGAGCAGGATTGAAGCTATATAAGGTAAGTTAAACAGACCTGATCCATTAAACTATAAAGGAAACAGTTCTGATTATAGACAAGAGCCTTACTGCCAGGGCATAGGGGCCCTAGAGCTGACTCGTTACATTATTAATGACCTTTGCTTTTGCTTTAGATGGAAACGTAGATCCTAGGGTAACTTATAAAATCAGGAGGAACAAGATCGTCCTTATTTTTGGCAATCCTGGAACTCCTGGACTGATAGAACTTGATGTTGGGTTTTATAAATTAGACCTTCAAGTATTTGTGTTTGTATAGAATCCCATTTTTAAGAACTGGAAAAACATTTTCAAGTTGGATCATACTTATTGAGGATTTAGGATGGTACCAAAAGAAGGCAATTTCCAAAACCCTGTTTCTTTTAAGAAGAAAGTAGATTGTGCAAGTCATATTGATTTCCTAAAGCAACGCTGTGGTTGACTGCCAGGCTTCATGAAAAGCAACGTTACCCATGTTTTAGGGCTCCAGAAAGATAAGAGACAGGCTGTCAAAGGGCAAAAACACAAGCAGAGCCTTAACAGACCATGTCATCTTGTGATCAAAGGAGAAGATGCTGTCCTCACCAAGCCTCCAAATGGCCAACCTTCCTGCAACCTTGTTCCTTCACACTGCTTGAAGCCATTCCAGAAACTATGCCTGCCTCCAAAAACAACTGTATAACGGCTTATATATTCCCATTTTAGTTGTAGAGGATTTGAAGTTGTTTTAGCAAGCATTAGACGAGGCTCAGCCCCAAATCAATTTGGATTTTTTTTTTCTGGTCACAAGGAAACTAAGCTCAAAATAATGCTTAAAAGCTACAAGAAGATAGTCATTTTGACTTTTGCTGGTCACTGTAATCCTAGCTACTCAGGAGTCTCAGATCTGAGGATCTTGGTTCAAAGCCAGCCTAGGCAAAAATGGGAACTATAGAAAATGAGAATGCCGCGAGATTGATGTATTTACCACAGTAGTCCAGGAATTAGCATCTTGAGGCTCATTTTAGGAGAGTTGTGAAGGAGATTTCAGTTTCCAGTGGTGGATGGATTGGAGGCCATCAGCCCAGATAACTTGGTGCATGTTCTGTGTTTTAGGGTGAAATCAGCTCTAAATCTTTAATACTTCATACTCAAAAGTTCTTCTTTTTTTTTTCTTAACATTGTTGTTGTTTTCCTT